CGTGAGTTTGTTACAACCCGCATTTGCTGGTACACCGACACGTAAGGAACCACTCTCTTTGCCCTCTCCAAAATAATGTCATGGCTAACACAGGGACACTGTACCCCCAGACCCTCCGGCGACTTCATCATCGACTACCACCCCGACTACGCAGGCTTGTTCCTCGCAACAGGCGGCAGCGGTCACGCATACAAATTCTTCCCTGTTCTGGGCGACAAAGTCGTCGACGCGATCGAAGGAAAGCTCGAGCCCGAGCTACGCAATCTCTGGAAGTGGCCGGTGGAGGTCGACCAGAGCGCGTTCGAAGGTGACGGGAGTAGATCCGGGGAGCAGGGGCTCCTCCTGATGGAGGAGTTGGCTAAGAGTACGAAAGCTCAGCGGAAGAGCGTTTTATGATAGCTCTTCCATCCTGTACATAAGCTATAGCACCGTATATGTAAGAACAGATCAGTTACTCATCCATCGTCCTGACATATCTCCGTTCAAGAAGCAGTAATATGAGAGTGTAACGAAAGGGGGCATCCGTGATACTACCTAGTAACGCCATTTCCGTGGAGAAACCAATGTTCACGACTATAACTATTAACCCCCTTTTACAGATTTTTATACTACTCTGGAAGCAAAAGTATCGACTACCTCATCATTTCATTCCTAAGAATGTCGTAGTCTAATCAAGTGCGGCATCATTTTCTTTTCGTCCATATCCCACGAACTCGTAAAACAAAGAGCAACCTCATACTGGACAAAGCCAGGTAGAGTTCAAGCCCATAGGCAAAGAACACAACCAGATATTAGAAAGGAGGCAACCATTCGACCAGCGCACAGTACCGCCCCCCGAGTCCGCGGATTGTGCTACTATCTAACTGTAACATTTGAAATATTTGGTGAAACAGGGAACAACGACCATGGGGCAGAAGGGTCCGAATCGCTAGAACGCCGTACAAATGCTAGCATAAAGAATCATCATAAGCGAGGTCACAGCAAAAAGGGACTGAAAGACCACCCATCCCTATGAACCTCTCAAAAGGAAAAAAGAAGTGTTAATACAAGTGGGAATGTGTGAAGGATATGAAGTGGGTACTCTTCATATGCTTGACAGATATGCCGCGGGAGGCTCTTAGACCTTGCGGAAATCTGATCGGATCGTTAGCATATGGTTCTGCTTCAAACGCAAAAGAATAACCATACCAGAAAGCACAGGGTAGATCAGTTCGAACGCCTGGTAAATCTCTTCACGGACTTTGGCGCCGGTCAAGACGATCTTTCCACTGACGAAAATCAAGAGGACGATCTTGGGCTTCATCATACGATAGATGAGACCAGGGAAAAGCTCAGGTTCGTAAGAACTGAAGTTGTGATGGCGACTAGCCAGACCCTCCAGGCGAATAGGGAACTTGATGTCACAAGAGCCGACGATGTTCTGGATCTTGAAGTCGGTGAACTTGGCGTTGAAGCCCAGTTTCTGGATGATACGCGCGTACTTCCTGGATGCGAGCTTGGAATCGTCTTCAGACTTCGCACCAGTAACGACCATCTTGCCGGAGGCGAAGATCAGTGCGGTAGTTTTCGGTTCCCGGATACGCATGATCACGGCCGCGAAACGCTATTAGAAGGAAAAGCAGTTCAGCCCACACTGTACCCTGACAACACCAGCTCAGGGAGGTGTGGAAATTAATACCTTTGGGTTGTACTCTGCATTTCGTGCATGAAGCGCGATAGTCTTGAGATCCAAGCGGCAGTCAAGGTTGACAGTAGCAACAATGTTTCTTGAAGAGAAAGTCCTTGTTCAGCATTCTGGTGATCCAGAAAAACAGCAAGAGTATACTCACTGCAAGGTAGGCACGATACCACTTCCCGGAGCATTGGCACCAGGAGTCGCAGCGGGAGTAGCGGGCGTCACCCCATTGCCGTTGACGGCATTTCCTCCCTGCTGATGGCCGTTCACAGTTCCATTCGCACCCTGAGCGCCAATCGCCATGTTTCCTTCTTTTTCAGAAGACGGAGGTGTCAAATCACCGGCACCACCGGGAAAGGACAGAGAAGCGGGGGAAGTGAAGGCCCGGGCCTGCTGCGCGGTAGAAGGATGGGTCGTGAGAGAGTCCATTGCGACGTGAGCAAGAGAAATACTCGAGCTGTAGACCAGCCGAAACTGAAGTAGATATGCGAGATAAATTCGCGAGCCGAAGAGCTTGTAGACGGCAGTCTGTCCTCTCAGAGAGACCGAGTCAGTCAAAAAGCCAGAGATTGATGATCACAAGGATTCATGTCACAATATGGACAGAGGGGTGAGGGAGGTGGGAGACAAGAAATGAGACATGACAAATGAGGTGGCGAAAATGATGACGGAATGGTGGGTGACGATGTGTTGCAATTGTGAATATTTTGTGGGCGCGGAAGGAAAAATTGTGAGTCTCACCCTTTGTGGGAGATGAACAACTCAATGTCTCCCCTACAGCAATGCTGCCTTAGCTCAACTCAAGCTCGAAGTGAGGAGTCGATAGACGAACAGCAGCAAGATAGGTCTGGTGGAGATGACAAGAGGCAAAACCAACCAGAGAAGCTCAACACCAGCAAGATGATGAGATACTAGAAAAGCACAATCAAGTGTTTCCTAGTCACACTTATGCAGTAGCACAAACAAGTGCAAGTGAGGGAATGGACAGTGACAGAAGCACGTGAAAGAGCAGAGCTTTTTTCTTCAGATCAAGCAAACAACTTTTTTTTTTTTCTTTGGTTTTTGGTTTCTTCCCTTTTGGGTATTGGAGAAGTCTATCTGCGTCTTGAAAGAGAGTGGCGAAGATGCACACCTGAGGCTGCAAACTTCGTGTTTCAGCGATGATACCGAAACTGCGCGGAAGAAATTTTTTCCTTTCTTCTGAGCGTCTTATTAGGCTTCTTCCCGGAATTCTTCAGGCCAAAGAAGCAGAGAATACTATGCTGAAAATAGCGGAACTCTGCGACTCTATACGATTGTGGAGAGAGAGGGGAGGAGAGGTTGGTCGTCGGGAAGAAGGCGACTGGAAGATTAGTTTCGGCGTTCCGGGCGGTGCCAAGACCAGGGTCAAAATTCCAAGAGCAACAGGAAAGTGGGAGGTTGGGCCTTTATATAGGCTGACTCACAGCGCCCGAGAGTGCTGGCGTCAGGGGAGGCTGGGCCGGGCGGTGGCGGCAAAAGCAGCGATGGAGGTCGTTTCCATCCATGGGTTTGGCTGCTTTGGGGCATCTGTTTGTGACTTAGCGTTCCACTAGCGGCTTCCGGGGTGGTCAAATCCTCGAGGCTGAGTGGCTTGCCTCTCCTTCATCCCAGCAAGCGCCATTCTGCCATTTCTGGTTGGCTGAATGTGAGACCCATCTAGCGCATTTTCTTTGGGAGCCCCACCAAGCTGTACACGCTCTGTTTGGCTGTCCATCAGACATCCCTTTCTCCTCTGATTCTCCATGGTTGCAGCCACTGGCTGTTGCCCAGTCCGCGTCGCTCCTGCAACTGCTCGTCAGACCCACTGCACCCATCCATCCATACCTGTTCAACAAATAAAAGTGCATATCGCTCTCAGTGGGTTTCCCTCGCGACGCGCCTCCTGTCGTGCCGCTTTAGTGGATGGCAAATGAACAAAACTCTTTTCTTTTCGCCCAGTCGTCACTTTTGATACTGGTGTTCCGTCCATGATTTCCTACCTATCCTTCCCTGTTTATGAGGTTGTTTGACCTGTCTATGATGGTGGCTTGACCCAGCAATCGGCTTCAAAATACTTTCCATTACTGGAGTTTGAGCTGAGATGGATCAGAAAAGTAAATAAAAAAAAAGGACGAGTCTGTCTAACCACTAGCCCTTGGACTTCTGTCAGTGATAGTCCGCGCGATTTGTGAGGTGTTTCATGGTCTATCTTCCCCCCTCTAGACTAGAGCCTGGACGCGGACCTATCTATCCCCAGATCTCACGAGTCACGGTTCGTGATCCACCAACTTGACTAAAATAAGGCTCTTCTGCTTTGTCCAATCGTCCTTCTCCTATGCCATACTTGACATCAATAGAACCTAGTCAATGATGAAATCATGTCCATGAGCAAGTCTCCGTGGAGAACTCGGTTGAAGATCAACTGATTTTCTTATTATCCCCCTATCAAATCAAGCCTGGGTAATGCATGGACGCTATGGAAGTCGTTAATATTATCCAATATATATCAGTATCAGATTATAGGCTGGTGCTCACCTGCGTATAAGCCAAGATATACGGGGTATATGAATTTAGGCTGTGATGTTATACGGTCGGCGACCCCATAACTTCTTCCATCATAATCAACATCTCAAGTGCGGAGTGAAAAGGTATCAGCTGGGCCTATCCTGTTCTACTTCTAATCTACATTATCCAGATCTTCTCTTCAGCCACGTGTAGAACCTTACATGATACCGGTGGATAGTAAGGTTGTCTGTACTCCGTACATACCTTCCCCTCCCGAAAGGTAAACGGTTAGATGCTTGTCATGTGGACATGTTGAGCCTCACACGTCTTTCATGTGATTCCATCGCAGAGCCTCGTGTGGCCTGAGTCTCCAGCACTAAGAAGCGAGTTTAGGTAATTTGCTTTGTAGAGAGATACGCACGTCATGAGCCATCTCAAACCATCAGTTTCGTGTGAGCAAACGAAGCTCTTCACCTACCTAGTGTTCATGTCACTGTTGAATTCGGGTTCCGACGGAATGGACAGTTTACCAGCGGAAAGACGAGGTAGGAGGAGGATGATTCCCATCGCCGAGATTCCCATTGGCTGAGCTAACCTCGGGTACTGTCCACCACCGCCAAATTCGGCCATCCCACGAAAGTCCCACCATAGCCTTTAGGTCATACTCGGGCTGTTCACAGGGCTTCTTCTGTGATTAATATCTCTCCAAGTTTTACTTCTTGGAAGGGCTGAATTGCCATGTCTGCTCATCATCTGTAGACTTCAGAGGTACTAAGAGTGGCAGTTCGAATCCCCTGTTGCAGTTTTCTCCGATATCGCCATGGCTTCGAAAGGAGCCGTCTTGCCTCTCTTGAGGCGCGAGTTGCAAACAAATCGCACACAACTGAATAGAGCCGCTTCAACCTTTTCGACGGTTGCTACGACCGTTCGGAACAGGAGAGCAGTGTCCGCTAGGCATTCGGCCCGCCACAGCGCGCTTTTCTCTCGGAGACAACTACTCGGTCAAACTCGGGCATTTTCGCAATCGCTATCGGCAAGGCTTCCAGATGAGCATGATCATTTCGATCCCCGTCAAGTAGAGAGGGAGTCGGATGAGGTGGACGTGTGCATTGTTGGTGGCGGTAAGAGCTTTAGTGTTTGCCAGTTATTCGTGGCTACCCAGCGCTTTGGTGGCTGACTCAATCTCTTCACCATCGCAGGTCCTGCCGGTCTTGCGGCAGCTATCCGACTGAAGCAACTCGCAAACGAGGCTGGAAACGAGGAGTTCCGTGTGATTTTGCTGGAAAAAGCGGGAGAGCTGGGCGCACATATACTTTCAGGCAATGTTCTTCAACCGACCGCAATGAATGAGCTTCTGCCCGATTGGTTGTCCGAGGATAATCCATCACGATTTGAGGGCGCAACACCGGCACGGGAGGACAAGATGCGCTTTTTGACCAAGAACTTGTCGTTCCCGATTCCCGCCCCACCCCAAATGAACAATCATGGCAACTACATTGTCAGTCTGAACGAGCTGACGAAGTGGTTGGGTGAGCGAGCTGAGGAATTGGGTGTCGAGATCTACCCTGGATTTGCCGCTAGCGAGTTGGTCTACAATCGGGACGGCTCCGTCCTCGGCGTTGCGACAAACGATCTTGGTGTTGGTCGGGACGGCAAGCCCAAGGACAATTTTGAGCGGGGTATGGAGTTCCATGCTCGTGTCACTCTCCTCGCCGAGGGCTGCCATGGTAGTTTAACGAAGCAGGTGATCAAAAAGTATGACCTCAGACGCGATAGTCAACCCCAGACTTACGGTATCGGGTTGAAGGAGGTGTGGGAGATTCAACCGGAAAAGTTCAGGTCGGGAGAAATCGTGCATTCTATGGGATACCCGCTTCCTTCGGATACCTACGGTGGTGCCTGGATGTACCATTTTGGAGAGAACTTGGTTAGCATTGGGTTGGTGGTTGGTTTGGATTATCCCAACCCATGGCTTTCACCTTATGGAGAGTTCCAGAAGCTCAAGCACCACCCCTTGTTCAGGGAGGTCTTGGAGGGCGGTAAATGCATCTCCTACGGTGCTAGGGCGCTCAACGAGGGTGGCTTCCAGTCGATTCCTAAATGTGCTTTCCCAGGAGGCGCTCTCATCGGTGACACTGCTGGCTTCTTGAACGTTCCCAAAATCAAGGGCACTCATTCGGCTATGAAATCGGGTATGTTGGCAGCGGAGTCTACCTTCAATGCTTTGCAGAATGACAACAACGGTACTGTCTTCCTTTTCGAATACGAGGATGCTCTTCGAAAGTCCTCGATCTGGAAGGAGTTGTACGAAGTGCGCAATATGCGGCCCTCGTTCAAATCGCCGCTCGGTCTTTACGGCGGTATCCTCTACTCCGGCTTAGAAGCCTTCCTGTTCCGCGGTAAAACACCCTGGACACTCAAGCACCACGGTACAGATGCAGCATCCACCAAATCGGCATCTGAATGTGAGAAGATCGAATACCCCAAACCTGACGGCGTGATCAGCTTCGATATTCTGACCAGTGTGAGCCGAACTGGAACGAACCACGAAGAGGACCAGCCTGTCCATTTGCAGGTCGCTGATTGGGACAAGCATACGGACATCGCTTGGCCCAAGTACCAGGGCGTTGAAAACAGATTCTGTCCTGCTGGCGTCTACGAGTACGTCGAGGATTCAAGCAAGGAGCACGGTGTTCGCTTCCAAATCAATGCCCAAAAGTAAGTCTTGATTCCTAGGCGCATTTTTCCTTTTTTGCCTCATGCAGATGCTAACGACTCACAGCTGTATCCACTGCAAGACGTGTGATATCAAGGTACCAACACAGGATATCAATTGGCAAACGCCTCAGGGTGGAGAAGGCCCTAAATACTTCAAGACATAAGCTCATACCCCCTGTAATTTCTCTTTCGTTTTCATTGTCTTGAATTGTTTCCGTGTCGTGTGGGATCGATCGTTCGAGTCTGTCCTCCCGGACTTCCGGCGATCAACTCTACGGGTTAGAGCATCCTTCTACTCTGTTGACATCTTGTTCCTACTGACAAGTTCTCCCTTTTTGGGTGATGTTTGTACTATACAAAAGGATATACAAAACTCAGCGTACGTAAAATGTACAGGTTGGTTGGATATACAGAGTATCAATAGTCTCGCATTACTACACTGGCACACGAAGTAGAAATTTACGTCTCTCGCTTGGGAAATTCTCACTTAGCAGCACGCCATGAGAACTTCGGCGACCCAGATTTATTTTTGACGCTGAAGTTGGAGCCCCGTGGGGACTGGAGAGCTGAACCATGGAAATGGCCGCGATGTTTCCGGTGATGGCAGACTATAGGTGAGAAATACCTTATAGCTAGTACCCAGGTGCCTAGATAATAAGCTGGTATCCGCAGCTATCGTCACAACATTTGTTTTCCGTCGAGTGTTGATCGGTTGGTCAAGAAGAACAATTTGGACTCTACAAGACTAGCGAATATTCTAAGGTGAGGCTGTCCAGAGTTCTCAAGGCAATTTGGGCGGAGCCACGTGGATCATCAAAGTGAGGCGGCCATTTCTGACTGATCGATCACGTCTCGCATCGTTTCGTCCGTCGCTAGAAAGAGAAAAAACTGACTGGAAGAAACATAGCCCTGCCCAGCACTACCTAGTCTAGTCTACTGATTGGCGGACAATTCACTTAGCTAGGGAAAGAATGGATAAACTGGTGGTGATCGCAGGTACGTACCTCTCTAGTACTTTCGGTCTGGCGGTCAAACCAACCTCCACCCTCCTCGTCTCGACTTTCTTTCTCCCTCTTCAACCTCACAGTTCTCGCTCCCATCCACCTCTCACCTGCTCCTTCTTCATCTCACCGTTTTTCTCACCCGATATATTGACCTGACTTGTATCTAGCAGCTACGTCGTCCTTCCAACCTGGCCTGGTTTCCATTTTCCAGCCCGTCGTACGAGCCACATCTGGAGATTCTGCCGTTCCACTACGCCGGATACCAGGAATACACGGCCATATCAATCTCAGGAGCTCGACTATCTGAACCCCAGGACTCCTGATCTTCCGCTCATCTTCTTTTTGACCTGGATCGTTTTGGCCACCACAAGCACAAGTCCGACGGAAGCCAGAATCATTCTGCTGTCTAGCCGCCATGACTGAGGTTTCCTCCACTCGACTTTATCTCGGGAATCTTCCCCGCAACGGTATGCAGGCCTTTATCATCAATTCTACCCTTTCCTAGGAGATATCCCCGTCTGTCTCAACCCGGATTCTGTAAACCGTCAACTTGCGCCTTCCAAAACCACCAGGAGAGACCCTTTTGGACCACCTGCTCTTCCCATAACCCTGATGGGTCTCCGAACTGTTTACTGGAATCTTCCTTTGTCCTTGGACATGGGGATGTGAGGGCGAACAGGCATCTCCCACATCCTAAGCCTCCAAATTTCCCGGCCTGCAGCACCCCAACGACTACGGATATGGTTTTCTTTTGGCAGTTCAAGCTCGTGCTTTTCTAGACTGCTCGTTACTTGTGTTGCGATGAGCTGACTTTTGTCGATGGCGCCCGTGTTGGCGTCGTTGTTGCTTTTATTCAGTGACCAAACAGGACATCGAGGAACACTTTAGTAGCCATGGCTCCGGGAAGATCACAGAGATCAAGTTGATGAACGGATTCGGGTTCATCGAGTACGAGGATGCGATGGATGCTAGAGATGTCGTTCCTGGTAAGATTTCCCTGAGCAGCCCTACCTTCACTTTGGACAGGATCGCCTGGCTGACAATCCACCATATAGCATTTCGTAAGTTGTCGAAGCAAATTATTGACATTATCAGCTTGACTGATCTGTAAACAGACGGCAGCGACTTCAAAGGCGAGCGACTTACAGTCCAATTTGCGCGTGGACCACGCCGCAAAGAAAATTTCCCTGGACCCCCGGATCGCCCTAATATGCCTCGTCCTCGTCGTACGATTTTCCGCATGTTGGTTTCTGGTCTCCCGGAAACAAGCTGGCAGGTTAGCAGCCCATCTCTTTTTCTATTAGGGCCTCCCGGATACCACACACAGCCTGGCCTCCCAGTGTTCCATGCGCCTTCCCTTTTCCCAATCTCTGTACTTTGACTTCCAGGAATTCGGACTCAGGATCCATGAGGCTCGAAGTCAAACACATATGTCAAGCTCATAGAATCTGTTTGCTTTTGACATGACCTCGCCATGTATCCAAGGACGTTCAGACGCCCCTGTCCCGATGGTCGCAATCCGGATGTCCACGATTCTCTTCTTGGATCCATGACAGTGTGACCACTACGGACTTAAATAAAGCTTTGGAGCCCTTGGATCGACATAAGGACTGTTCCTGTTTCATCCCTCCAGTGATTTGTGTCTCTTTTGTCCTGTCCACTTCTCCTGGCCTTCTTGCATTACCGGGTTTTGACTGGTGTCTACTTTGATTTGGAAGCCGATTCTTACCACTGGATCATATAGGACCTGAAAGATTTTGCACGTCAATCTGGTCTGGACGTTGTCTACTCGGAGACTGGCCGCGAACAAGGAAGAGGGTGGGTGAAGCTTGAAATGCCACGGATGATAATTTGCCAATCATTAACACCGAATCAAGGTTCGTTGAATTCGAGACTGCAGCTGACCTGAAAACTGCCATCGATAAGCTTGATGGACGAGAGTTCAAGGGCGCCCGAGTGAGCTGTGTCGCGGATGTAAGGACCTCGCCAAAACATGTGGTACAAACCAGGATTCTTAATTGTTTGCTTCCAGATCCAACCTCACGACGATCGCGTTTTCCGTGATCCATATCGGTCTCGCTCACCCCGTCGCAGTTACCCTCCTATCGACGAGTACGACAGGAGATTCCCCGCGCCTCGCGGTTATAGCCCCCGCGCCCATTACAGGGAACGCTCGCCTGTTCCGCTTCGCCGCGACTATTATGAACGTGAGGGCTACGGCCGTCGCACCCCTCCTCGGCCTCGGATTGAAGATTATCCCCCTCCTCGTCGTCCTTACGATGACCCCTATGATGCCCGGCCCCCACCACCTCCCCGCCACTATGATGACCCGTACATGGCACCGAGACCCTATGGACGTCCTCGGACCCCCCCAAGAGGCGACTACCCACCTTATGACCGCCGTGGATACTGGTAGAATCTAATTTTCTGCTTCGATCGTGTTGCATAAATGGCGGATACCCATTCAGTCTCGTTTCATTTGTTCCATGACTTTCTGCGTAATTGTTTCCTTTTACTGGGATGCCTGCAGCTTTACCAAAGCATTCGATTACTTAGGACCGAATCGCAAAACATACCATGCGGACCTCAAGATGAAGGGACTTCCTATATCCCTGTTGAGGGGTGGAATTCCGGGTACGGTGTGACTACAATCTCTTGCTTGCATGTCCAGGATGGAGCTCTATTCCGGGGATTGGGCATTCGACGGGTACATGATTGTAGGACTTACGACTTTCCTTGGTTAATCACAAATCTCGCCAAGGCTTCTGGCTGCTAATGATACTGGTCGATATCGACTGAAACCCCCTGTCCGTTTTTATCTTTGTGAAGGGATCTTACTGGACTTTTCGACGATCTGGCCCTTGAAAAATCCGATACCGGCCGTTTCTCCTGGGGAAGAGCTTACTTGTAAATCCGAACTAACTAATGCTTTACATCTACACTGGTACTTTTCAGGCTGTTTTCTTTTGAAAGACCCGTACGCAGGTATGCGCACGGGGCTAATTAACGTTGTCCGACATCCTAACTCGGACAATGTTTGATTGATGGTATAGAAAAAAACTCGAACAGAGGTAAATCCTCCATAGGTGGAGTCCTTGCTGGATTGAAGTGTAATGGAGTGTGGGGAGCTCGATGCTGGTGGACAAGCCCACCAATGCTTGACACTTGGGAGATGCCGTTCGCATGATTTCAATTAAGGCCGTCTTGGAGCTTAACAAACGTTCATGTAAAGAACCAGTAGGGAAATCTTTGCCCACAATCCATCCTAAGCGCTATTAGAGTTGTGTCGAAGTATCATCATTCTTCGTCATGGGGTCTCGCCGCGCTACTAGAGGCCGAGCAACCCCACTATCTCCATTGTCAAGAGTCAGGACTTCGATTTTCTCTCAGACTTGCTCAATAGCTTCCTAAAATATTGCGTGGAACGATCTGAGAGCTTTATTTATTCATGTGTATTTTCTTCACTTCCAATTGATTCGAGTTTATCTTGATTCTGTCCCAGAAGAGGGTTATTGCTCAACAAGATCCCCAGATACTGCCACTAACGTCAGCGAATTTACCCTGTTGAGCGTTAAAGCCGATACTTCTCCGGTAGATCCATCTCCATACAACAAACGCAACATTACTCTCGATACATATCCCTAAATATGGCTGAGCAACGGGTCAATGTCCATATCCCCTCCCACCCAGCCGTCCTGGACAGCGTTCAGCTTCGCAACATTCAACTCCCTTTGCCCGTTGCACCAGACCCATGGCATCGCGACGGAAAGCCACAACCGTGCACCGCATCACTGAAACTATCCTACTCGTCGGCTATCGCGGCCGCAGCCGCCGACGATGTCTCCCTCTCCCTCGATTACGGCAAGCTGTACCGCCGCCTGGAAGAAGACATCCGCAACATGGGAAAACACAGCCTCTCCCCAAGTCAGCGGATGGTCAGCGCAGACGGAAGCCGGAGGGACGAGATGATGCACATAGAGATCGGGCAAGATGTAAGGCTGACTGCAGGGATTGTCGCGAACTGCGGCCTGGGGCTGCTCGATGAGACGGCTGCTGGGATTCGGAGAATGTCGCATGTCCATGTCCATCCGGGCTCGAGGAGAGGGAGTGCGTCGGCTGAGATACAGGCGCCACTCGCGGGGCTGTCGTCGGTGAGTCCGCCCATTGATGCGGTGTTTGGGCAGTGTGAGGTCTGGTTGCAGCTGCCCAAGGCGCTGCTGCGTGCGGAGGAAGGCTTGAAGTATCGGAGCGTCACTGTCTGGGGGTATCATCAGGGAGATGAGAACACAGTGCTTTACTCAGAACGGTGCCCTGTTGTTTTGGAGGAGGAGTTCCGGATTGATGGTATCAGGTGCCATTGTATCCTTGGGGTGAATTCCCATGAGAGGGTTGAGAAGCAGGCTGTTATCATCTCGTTGGAATTCAAGGGGCCTGGGCAATTGGCTTGGGGCTCGACGGTTGTTGATACTTATCAGCAGATGACAAGAAGGGTTGCTGAGGTAAGACACTCAGCGTCATACTTTTTTTTCTGTCAAATCTCAAACTGACTTGCGTCTCCCTGTCTCAGGAAGTGGAAGAAACCTCGTTTCAGACCGTGGAGGCCCTGGCTACCTTCGTTGCGCGCATAGTCACCGTGCAGTTTGCCAATGAACGAGTCACGGTGAGGGTCGAGAAACCCAGCGCACTGTCGTTTGTTGAGAAATCTGGGATCGAAATCACCCGCTCACAGGCGTTCTTCGAGAGGTCAGATCTGGAAGGAGGAAGGTTATAGTCAAAGCCTCATCGGATTGTGTGGCTTTGTGCATATGATGTCCTAACATACCCAGTCTATACAACATGTCCCTGTCAGCTTACTGTCAGCTTAGTTACTGGGCACATATTGTGGACAAATGGACAAATACCCGAGGAAGATTGATCTTGAAGCGACCTCTCTTCGTTCAACAGCAGGGAGACTTCTTACGCAGGCTTACTGTTTCAATGACTTCGTCTTGTAGCAGGACGTGAGTACGTACGTAGTTCTCTTCCTGACGGTTACCTCCGCCTTACCGTGTAGATCACTTACTAGTAACTCAATGATATATGCGCGCAGAACAGACTAAGCTAATCTATTCCTCTTATTCGTATGACCTGCAAAAGTACACATGCTCAGTCCAAATGAAGGATACAGACCATTATCATCGCCATCTCGATCCAATGACGACAGCACGTGAAAGCAGTCTACTCAAAGCGGAATAGTCTCGCTTAGGTCACACGGGTTCTGATTGGCCCCGCAACTCCCGCATCATTTTCGAGTGTTAAATCGGCGTTTCTCTTTCTTTGTGAAGTTGGATCTCTTGACATTCAGCTTGCCATTTTTCCCTTACTTCTTGCTCTCAAGAAAATCATACCATTCCTCTTCACTTGGATACTGATCCAACTTCATAAATCCGCGTTTATCTCATCTGCCGTTCCTCTATGTGCCTGTCTGCGCCCTCCCTGTCCTCGTCCGCTTTTATCCGCTTTGCTGGCTGCCTTGCCAACTCTCGCTCCTTGACCTTGAATCGAACCGTTGGGCTTGCTCCCCGCGGATCCCTGGAGAAATACGCGTTCTCTAATATTCAAGTCTTGTCGGCTCCCCTGCTGTTCGACTTCTCAGTTGCCGAGGTGGTTTGGCTAGGGGTCCCTGGTCCGTCCTGAAGAAGGGCGGACGGTAAACTGTGAGATACTCAGAGCTACGGGCGTGACTTCCTGCTATATTACGAGTGGGAGCGGTGACTTCTGCTCTGAGTTTTTCGCATTGAAGGTATGTCTCGGCTCCCTGGATAGTCATCTCACTCCCTCCCGCGTACTCTTTCGCGTTTCGCCTCGAAATTACCCCGCAATGGCTGACAAGGGAGCTGACAATCATTTTGCGTAATCAGATATCCTTCGATAGGCTATTGCCTGTTTACTGTTAGTGGTGGAGTGGATGAATTAAGGTCTGAATCACAAAGCGTGCTTGTTGGCGCTTTCCGACCTCATTGTTGGAATCTTGCCGTCGCTGTCCTCGACCGGGATCCCTTGCCGAAGACATGGATGCACCGATGCATGATGACCTTTCCGTGGGAGACGTCTTTGCACCCCAGGCGGACATGTCGCAACCTCGTAACGATGCCCTTCTCGATAATAACCCTGATACGCGCTTTCGCATGAGTGGTGGCAGTCCCACCCGCAAGCAAGTTCCGGTCACCAAGGATGTCAATGAAGTTAGTCACTTTCCGGCACACAACCTCAGCGTTGAGGCCTTGTCCGGCAGACCAGACCGTCGCAGAAAGAAGAAAAAACATCAGGCAAGTGAGGTTCCCCGCGCCATCTCCACTGTCCGCGGATTTACTCCACTCGCCTCTGGCGACGAAGACTCGGATTTCTCGACCACAAGCGCTAAGGCTCGCCCTTCGTCACGAGCACGTGCTCATGCGGAGAGCAATGGAAACAGCCCCATGGTCCAACCTGCCGCATGTGGCGTGAGCGCTTTGAAGCTTCAGCTCGATTCGCTCAGTTTGTCCGGCAGCGGTAGCCCTCACGCTGTGCGGAGTGACCTGTGTTTTGAAACTCCGAGCAACGCAAGCGTCTGCTCGGACAGCGACCAGACAGAGGTTCTGACTAGTTACGAAGTACCCCTGGAACATGATTTTGTCAGCTCCGATGCCGCAGCGGAAGAAACGTCGGCGAGTCTCCCCGGTGCGCAGGACGTCCGTACTCAGCTGTGCCGCAAAATGACAACCGCAGACTTTGAGCCGTTGCTCTGCCTGGGCAAGGGCTCCTTCGGAACCGTGCTTCTTGTACGCCATGCGCTCACTGGGAAGTTGTACGCTCAGAAGCAGTTCCGTAAGGCATCGCTCACCGTTCACAAGAAACTCGTGGAGCAGACCAAGACTGAGCGCGCGATTTTGGAAAGTGTGAACCGTCATCCATTTGTGGTGAAACTGTTCTACGCATTTCAGGATCACGAAAAGCTGTACCTCATCCTGGAATATGCCCAAGGTGGTGAGCTGTTTCACCACTTGGCGATGGAACGCATGTTCGACGAAGATGCCGCAGCATTCTACATGGCGGAAATGGTTCTCGCTCTCGAACATCTGCACCAGAATGTGGGTGTGATCTATCGCGACCTCAAACCGGAGAACTGTCTCCTGGACCGCGATGGCCATCTGCTCCTGACCGACTTCGGCCTCAGCAAGATCGCAGTCAACGATGACGATCGCTGTAACTCATCCCTGGGCACCATTGAGTACATGGCTCCCGAAGTCGTGCAAGGTAAATCCTACGGCAAAGCCTGCGACTGGTGGTCTCTTGGCGCGCTCGGCTACGATCTACTCACCGGCTCCCCGCCCTTCAAGGCCAACAACAACGCCAAGCTGCAGGAGAAGATCGTCAAGCAGAAGCTCACGTTGCCCTACTTCCTCGGTCCGGACGCCAAAGATCTTCTCACCCGCCTGTTGCGCAAGGAACCCTCCAAGCGACTCGGCTACCACATGCCCAAAGACCTGCAGACCATCAAGAATCATCGCTTCTTCCGCAAGATTGACTGGAAGGCGCTCGAGCGCCGCGAGGTTGACCCCCCTATCCTCCCCGTCATCACAGACCCGGCTCTGGCGGAGAATTTCTCGGCCGACTTTACTGCCCTGCCGCTGAGTCCGGTCGTCACCAGCAACGGGTTTGACGATTATTACTCTCTTCGCCGGCGCCCCAGCCAGCGTGCAATTTCGACAGGCCCAGATGGGATGAGTTGCGACAATGACCCGTTCGGTGGATTCAGCTTTGTGGCTTCCAGCAGCCTACTTGACAATGGTGTGGGTGTTATGACCCAAGGTTACTGATAGCCTTTTTTTGGTTGTCCAATGGTTGCATTTCACTTTCGGCCTTGTTTCAATTCTACTACGACTAGCGTTACTTGAGATCTTGCTTGGAAATCGTATATAGCGGATTCTTTACAATTCAAGTATCAACGGAGAACAATATCCGTTCTATATTGCTGTATTCTCAAATCATATACTATCCAAATCAAGTCGACCTGCCCGCCAACCAATGCATGCTCAAAGTGTAATGCATAAATGCAATGAACGCAGCTGATCGAGCCGCTAAAATGATCGTTTATATGACCACGAGGTAGTGCGGCGTCATCCCAGGTCACTGATCAGTCAATCAATTTGAGAGACTCCCTCCTTTTCTTTGTCTGGATCATGTATGTTCTCTGCAACTTAGTAATTGTAGTTGTTCGCAAGAACACAAGGAGTTTCAAGTCTACCGCGAAGTTGCAATCAAAGCTCCCCTTCTTCACTGCCCCCGCCTTCATCTTCCTGAGCGGCTTGTTCCGGCTGTGAGGGCGGGGGTGGAGGTGGCGGCTGAGGAATATCGGGAGGTGGTGGCGGTGGGGGTAGAGGTTGATGATGAGGGTGCCCTGGGGGTGGTGGATGCTGCTCCTCGAATGACTGCGACCTCCCGAAGGACGGCCGCCGTCGTCTCGCGGGATCATCGTACCCGCGGTACCAATCGGGTCCGCGGCGATCGACTGAGTTCCGTCTGTTGGGGATCCTCGCGCCGCCTCCGGGCGGTGGTGGTACTGGTGGACCACCGTGCGGCGGCATATTCTGTGAAACGATTTCGTCGATGCGTTGTTGGATTGGATCGGCTTCCCTTAGACCTGCGCCTTTTCCGCCGCCGGGAGGGCGGTGATCGCTATCTCTCCGTGGGAATGGACGGGGAGCCGGTGGTAAGGGATGCGGGTGACGGTGGTGAGTGGGGGGATGAGGTAATGACGGAGGTACCTGGCCGTTGAGATGGGGCCGGCCCTGGGAGGAGAAGGAGGAAGGGCTTCCTGCGTTTGGTAGGCTTTGTGAGGAAGGAGCGGAGGGGCTCTGCTGCTGATCCTGCGAGCTGCCGCGTGGCGCCGCATCCGACTCCCTGCGTGGTCGTTTCGGAGAACGCTCTCCGTTGGAGGGGGCTGAGACATTTCCTCGAGATTTGCCGCTGTCTTCTGGCTCTTTCGATCGTTTCCGGCCGTGATTGACGTCTGACTCCGCTGCAGGACGATTTGCGGGACTGCCAGCGTGGGGGATCCTGGTCTTCTCAGTGCCCTCGTCCGACAGTATTGGGGTGGTCGGGTAGTACTGGCTATGTTTCTGCATGGCATTGTTCTCGTAGAGCTGTGCCATTCTCATGCAGGCGCGACGCACCTGCGTCAGATCCACGTCAATCTGCTCCCACCACGGTCGACCGCGGTCGTCGTCCGGAAATCCCACGTCGCAGTGCCGCGCTGCGGCGTATAGAGCGGCGGCAGCGATGGTGCGTGCGTTGAACTGTAGGCAGAGGACGGTAAACATGGAGTCATTGACAAAGGCCCATGCGGCGTTGCGGAGCGGTTTGTTTTCATTCGCGCCGAAAAAACAGATAAAATCGTAGAGGATGCGGTACGGCTGTTCGAGCTGCAGGTCGAAGCAGAGCGCCTCCAGGAGTAAGTCCTCATGGTGAAGGATCGTGTCCCTCCATTTCCAAAACTCCTTGGATTGCTCGTCCACCACCAGATTCGGCTGCTTTTGCGCCACTCGGCAGCAGGCCACCACCAGCTCTCTCATCCTTCGAACATTCTCTTCGACTTTCGTAGCTAAGAATAGCGCTGTGGCCGCGATGGGATAGGGATGCATGCCCGGTCGTTGCGGTATATCGACCATGCTGTACCGCATGAAGAACCGGTGGAGGTAGACGGCTGCGGTGGCCAGAGTGAGCTGGGGCAGCTTCAGCATGATGCCGACCTGGGTGATGAAATTGACACCTTTGCTGCGACTAGTATGCTCCGCTTCCATCTTCATACCATCGAGTTGGGATGGCGTACGAGTGAGTTCTTCATCTGTGAAGAGCCATTGGGCTTGCGATGCGTCGAGGACGGGATTCGGCTCAGCAGGTACAGGCAGTTTCTCCGGGGAATGCGACGGTGCCGAGGCCATGACGTATTGAGGATATTGTCTTGCCGCAGGTCAATCACGGTGGAAGGCAATCAGGTTGACAGAATGGTTCCTTCTGGTGTTTGTTGGAACGTGCTCTGGTCTATGAACGGTGTTCAAGTCCTATCTCTTCGAGGAGGACAGCTGAGCAGGGCGCGCTGACCGCACGTGGTGCTGCGTGTCTGTCCTCCCTCCACAACAAGGAGATGCCAGAATTGCGTGTTTTATGAGTTTGTATCAAACATAGCGCATGGAAAGCGTCGTGGTATCGCAAGTTGACTTTTCGCGATCAAGATGACTTGTGAAGCGTGCTCAGCCAGTAAACGAGCAGATGGCGTTTGCCGAACGAGTGATGGGGTAGGTGCGGAAGAAGCTCCGAAACTCTTCTGCTTGAGGAGCCGAAATAACCCTTCTGATTTGATCAAAAATGGCTCTCAACGATAGGGTATACTGTGGTCTTGTGAAGTCCGGATTGCTCACACTGTCTCGCAACAATCCAAAAGATAGTCTGGAGTGCGGATGCGAAAGGCCCGGATCATCGAGTTGTTCCGGGGTATGTAGATCAGCTCCAGTTGACATAGTACAAGGAGTATCCGTATCCTACAACAAATCAGGCTGCTTTTGAAATTGTGGCGAGTTCAGTTGAGAGATAATAAATCCGTTAGATTTCTGTGTACAAGTATGATTTGATCGTGGTATCGTTACCCTCTAGTGACCTGGTGGACTGGGCTGGGACCAGTGCCCTCGCTGCAAAACTCCAAAAACGACGCCATGCACGCAAATAAATCTGACACATAGAAAACAGAATACTGTAGACAAAGGTATCGCGACAATTCGGAGATGGGACCGAGATGCAAGATGTGGGAAAATAAGACAATAGAACAGAAAGGTATCATTCCTCCTCACTAACCTCACTCTCATCATCACTGGGAACGTGGTACTGCAGAGACGGTGGCTGGTACTCCTGCTTCCTCGCTTCTTCCTCGAAAGCAGCCTCCATCTCAGCCGCTAGTGCATCGTCATCGTCTTCAATCTCCTCCTGTGTTGCCGCTGCTATTTCCACCCTCTCGGACGAAGCACCCCCGCGGCCGACAGGAGATGGAAGCCGCAGAGCTTCCATTTCTTCTTCCTCATCATCTTCCTCGTTTCCCGGAGTATTGTTGGACGAAAAGTGTGCTGGATTAACCCTGAAAGCGGGACGAGATGGAGGGGGCGATCCCATATCGATGATCAGATCTCCGTCAATTATGATATTAGAGCCTGGTGACGGAGCCGCCTTGAAGGATGACACCAACTCGGTTCCAGTGTCCGAAGGGGATGATTTTGTTTCCCCAGCTGGGATCTCCGCCGCCGCCTCTAACTCTTCCTCCTGAGGCTCTTCCCGCTCAACTTGCGCTGGAGGCTCCAGATTCGTCTTGGGAGCAGTTTTTGTTTGGTTTCTAGAGGGTTTGCTCGGGCGGGGTTGTTGACGGAGAGGATTAGTTTGAGGCTTAGGTCGAGCTTTGGGACTTGGAGTGGGTTTGGCAGCCGCGGTGATCAGGGGGGTATTGGCTTTACTGGCATTGAGATGAGCTGACACCGCACCATCCGAAACGGACTTGTCATCGTCAGCGTTTTCTTTTGGCAGGAAGTGACGGTAGTCGTAGGGATTGCTGTCATCAGCGGGACCGTCGTCATTGTCAGCGGCTGTTTCAACTGCTCCGTCATCACCAGAACCCTGGTCATCGTCATGTAATGTTCTCAGCTGCGCATACTGCTCCTTCACCTGCTTTTCAGTTTTATTAGGTGCCGACCGAAGATTGAAGTTCAACTGCGTCGCAATCGGCTCGAGAACAAAGACCTTACGGTCCGGATCAAAAACCAAAACTAGATTCCGCTCGCGGGACTCCAGCGTAGCATGTTCTGGATCCACGCTGCCTTTGTATGAGTATGTTATAACACTATGCTCGGCATTCGGTGCCTTGTCAGTGATCGTGAGGCTATACAGGTCCGGATATGGCGCAGATTGGGTGATATGGGTGCGTTGCTGCGAGGACGCGGACTTCGTTTTATAATTATACTGAATGTTGATTAACTTCGATTGCGGTTTCGTGTCTCCTCCGGCCAATTGATCACCCAAGATGATAGGGTAGTCTTTGGTGGGATCAATTAATCCACCCGAGGGGAACAGAGCCGAGGTGGCCATTTGAGACAAGACTCTGGCTTAGAGAGATCGAACGGCTTGCACTGGAAGTCGGGCGTTAATGTATGTGAAACCTGTGCTCTTCAATATGCCGTATAAGAAGGTCTCATTTCTTTGTGTAATCAAGCACAAAGAAGACGGGACAACTACACACAAGGGAGTCCGTCACTCCGGGGAGGACAAAGAAGGGGGAAGGAAGATGGTACAACGAAAATCGACCATAGAGGAATAGGAACAGAGAAAGCGTAAGGGTATACAGGTATGGAAAAAATGCTGCAGAGAGCAGCTAGACATGTCAGCTACAAGCTGGCATCTGACTTGAAGCATGAAACGTGCCGAGATGAGATGAGATGAGATGAGACGGGATGGGATGTGACGGGGGGAAGGGAAGATGACGGCGGTCCAGACAACGTTGGAAGGCGGAGGCCAAAAGGCGCCCGCAGCTAGACCTGAACAGGCTTAGAGTCTCTGGGGCCATTCCTTTTCTGATGAGGACGCCCCATCAGCCGATCACCCGTCGACCCTCAGCGGCAGATATATCATATGGATATCGTGACTATCGACTGGAAGAAAGTCATTTCTTGAGGCTCTCAAGTCTAGCCTACTGGTAGCAACCTTTATCTCGCGGATGTTGTTCAATGAGGGGGTGAAGTCACCCGCGTGGTCCCTTTGGAGGCAGTTCCGGTGAGTTGTTCCAACCGCCCTGCCAAGGCTCGGTGCTTCCGTGTAACCTCTTCCCACTCATGAGCGGCACCCCGCTCGTGCTCGTCTTCCGCAGTACTCATCTCCGTCAGAATCATGCTAAAGTCTCCCCCCAGCCTTCCCAAGCTAGCAGCGCAATATAACACTTGGGTTAGAAGACTTTCGCGGGAGCTCTTATCTTGGACGTTGGGTAGATAGGTGCGTAATGTGTCAGTCAGGAGCTGGACGAGATGCATGGGAAAGGTTGCCAAAGCTGCTGGAAGGCATTGTAACGGGTCATCCATGCGAGTCGGCTGTGACGAGCTCGTTTTAACGCGGGCATCAATCCCTGGCAGTCCTGCAATAACCGACTCTGACTCGGCTTGGTCAGGGGTGAAGATGTTCTTATACAAGGAAACAATTGCAAAGCTCTGCTCCCTGAAGATCTCAATGTATCGTTTCAAGAATTTTTCTGTCTGATGGCCGTGAGACCAGGACGAGTTTGGGGTCCCTTCCTTCTGATCTGTATTCCGGGTTCTGCGCTGGGTCTCCTGGTCTGCTAGTTCTCGTAAAGGGTCCAATGCCTCCAGTGTCGAAACCAGATTGGCCAATCTGCAAACAAGAAACAATGCACCGAGTGCGCCTTCCCCGGTGCCCATTCCGCCGTCACTGTGCAAGCCCTCCAACTCCGGAGCCACGCGACGTAACCAGCCTACCATTCTCATAGCCGCTGCCAACCGAAGATTCTGCGTACGAAGACCCGCTACCAAATTCGTTGTCATCTCCTTCATCGCATCCTCGGCTTGAGAGGCGACATCCTTGACGAGGGGGGAATCAGGGTACAACGTCTGTAATCGCTTGATGTGGGCGTATAAATCCAAAGCAGATGAGTAGGTTGTAGAAAACGAGGTGCCGCCAGCGGCAACGGAGCTCGCAGCTGCCGAAGAGACAGCTGTCGATAGAAGAGAGGGAAGTTCTAGAATGTCGGAAAGTCGATCGACATTCCTCGCCAGCTGCATGACCTTCTTTCGCCGCTCCAGAGACGGGTTCTCTGCGGCTCGGCTGTACTTGGTAGAAAATCGGACCGCCTCTTCGTCAAGTTTGGGGATTGCATCTCGTAGATTTTGTGTGTTGCGGGTCAATTGGGGAATCGAGGTACGGAGCTGAGAGAGGTTATCGGCAGAAGTGATGAAGGCCTTGTGCGAGCGATTCGATAAGGCCTGGAGAGACAGGAGGGTAGAATGCGAGGATTGCGCCAGAGATTGCGGTTCTGTCGTTTCCAAGGCGTCGAGCGACAGCGTTGACAATCGGTTCAAGTACTGAGCCGTAGTCATGTCATTATCGGGAGCCAACGGTGTCGAGGCAGCATTTGCTGGAGAGAAATGAGGAGCCAACAACTCGTAAAGATAGTCAGTCATGGTGGATCCCGTGGCCGTTCCCTTTTGTAAAGGGAGGAACAGTTGACAAAAACAAAGTACAGCTGACCGATGGTGGAAGAAGAACTGGCTAGAAGCTGATGCGACGAAGTCTCGAATACCTTCTTACCTAGTGGTGATGCGGTACGGCAGCCATTGCGGCAACAAGCGCATCTCCGCATTTCCTCCTTGACGCTACGCCAGTCTATCCTAAACCCCTCCAGCGCCTCAGCGTAACTAAGGCAGTTCTGTCTAGGCCCATCTTTTTCTCTCCGTTATAAAGCCAAACCCGCTGAATATCTAGTCATCTTGATATTGCTATATCTCCTAGTGGCCAGGGCTTGTCTGCAACTTCAACAATCTCACATCCGATACACCCCTCCCAACATCAACCGATGTTGTATCAACCATGGGTAAACCGCGGGTTAGCTTTCCCTCGGTAGCATTCTATGTCTGACACCTCAGCGTCTCACTCAGTCAATAGATGATCATCTTGATCCGCCATGCGCAGTCAGAAGGAAACAAAAATCGGGAAATCCACCAGACGATCCCTGATCATCGGGTCAAGCTCACACCCGAAGGACATCGACAAGCAAAGGAGGCAGGTAGCAAGCTGCGTGCTCTTCTACGGCCCGATGACACGATACACTTCTTTACCTCCCCCTACCGTCGGACTCGGGAGACTACAGAGGGGATCCTCGAGTCATTGACTTCCGATTCTCCGT